AAAAGGTGGAGTAGATTGCTTTCTGATATTGTTGAACGATGGTGAAAATAGTGGAAGATAAGGTCAGAATTCCACACAGGCTAAACCTGTTTGACCTGAATATTTCCAAATACAAGGAAATATGAAAGAATCTAAAATGAACTCTTACAGAATCTGGATTAAACATTTAATTTCCAGTTACATTAAAACACACTGAAAGTCAAACAATGGATTCATTGAATTGAACTGTCACAAAGGCTCCAGTTTGCAAAGGTGGAATGACAGATTCCTTATTTCTAACTGTAAGTCCCAGCAAAGTAAATACGTGGAACAAATGTCAAGTTTACTTTAGGATTGCTACTGTTTAAATATTGGGCATTTGGGTATGGTTTCAGCAAAGCATCAATGTAACTCTGTCCCACAAGTCAGTGTTGCTGTTGAAAATGTCACGCAGGGTGTAATGACATACCGATGACAACCTTTGATGAAAACAATGCTTTCTTCTTCCAGCATTAAACAAACCTGAACATGGGGAGTCCAGACTGCACTGCACACTCGCCTCTCTACATCAGCCACCCTCACCACACTGACATTAGGATAGCCCAGCTGGATGAGGTGGAGGACATCAAACCGCCCCGCAGCTTGTTGGGGCTGCCTGAGCTCAGCTGGCCAGGGGTCTACGTCCCCAGCTACAACAGATTAGCCATAGAGGAGAACCCCTGGGTGCTGAGGATGACAGAGGCCCCGGCTCCTGCTGCTCCTCCCTCCAGGATTCCAGAGCCGAACCCAGGCAAACCCAGCCAAGTCCACAATCCCCCTTCTGGGATGGAGGGTCAGGTGGAGGAGCGCTGTCTGGAGCAGGTCCAGACCATGGTGGTGGGAGAAGTGCTGAAGGATGTCGACACGGCTTGCAAATTGCTCAACATTGCATCAGGTAGGACATAAGACAACTGGTTAATATCAGGTTATTATCACAGTGCTGAAGAAAGTGTTGTAGTCTAATAAAATAAACCTTCAAAAAGCCATAATTTGCATGTTAGCTCTACCTGATACCTGGTGAGTGTCTGAGGCCCTGCCTACCTTGTGCAAACGTTTCTGTTGACATAGGTTCATCTTCACTTCTTATGAACTGAGTCTTTATCTAGGGCCTTAAAATCATACACTGCGTGTGTGATTATTTGCTTTTGTTACAGTCCGTTTTCTACATAACTTAGAAAGTAGATGATGCAACATTTATCATACATGTTGCATCATAGTCATAATTTAAAGATGTAACATGCAACATTTCTGCATTCAAATGTCCAAAAACACTAGATCTACGTTATATATTTTGTTGAGTTGTGTACTTACTTTCCCAAATATTAAAAATTATGAAACAGAACATCAGAGAAATCTGTAATTTTTATTCAGGTAACAGTGCATTTCACCAATGGCCTGTCAATGGCATCATGTCACCCTTAAAAAAAAAATTTGAATCCACTTTTAATCCATATTTTTACAATACACTTTTCTTTTTTAACTCTATCTTTTAACCAGATGGAGGATTTTAGTCATTGGATGTCTGAATCTTAAGTTATCACAGAAACAGTCCATCCGAGCTGTCCTTTGTTCCTTTGTTGACAAACACGGAAGGAATTCTAAGTGTTACATTATTCCTTAAGTTTCAGGACTTGTTAGAGAGAGTTTTTAAAAATGTTTTTAATTCCTAATATGAGTCAAGCTAAAGAAATGCTGGAACCTACATGTGTAGGTTTTTGTTAAACTCTACCTGTCGCCTACACATTTCACACTCTCTCGCCTCAGCTTGTAACAGAGGCTTTATGTTAAAAATGTGTAGTTTCTGATTGTAAAGTCACTATATCCACACAAGAAGAATTGAATAAACTGTTTTCACAGGCTGAGTAGTACTCTAATGCGATGGCAAATTGACTTTGACATGTAAAATCAGTTATGTGCTCTATTAACATAATAGTAACTTAAATGAAATGCAGAGGTTTTGTTTTTATATCCTATTTTGGTTAATTGATCCTCACAGGTCACAAAGTCACATTTCTTTAATCACATAAACTTGAATTTCCATCTAACTTTCTTCTCTTTCTTGTAACATCTTTACTGCAGCAGTTATAGGATTTAGCATTGCACTTTCTTAAGAGATATTATGATTTTTAATCCTTTGTATGGGTCAAACACTGGATCCCGTAATAAAAACCAAAAGCAACCAATAGTTTGAGCCCGCCCCCCCACACACCAGGTAATTCAGTGCAAAATAAAAACTCCATTAAAAAATGTCTGTCAGCAACCTATTGAAGTGTTTTTATTGGTGAAATAAAAAAATCATGTCATCATTCAAGGTCTGTCGACATGTTTTCAGCATCAGAGAATCAACTTGTGGGGAACTGTTTAAAGGAAAAGGACTTATCTCTTTGTGTTTTCCTCTTTAGACCCCTTGGACTGGAGCTGTGTGCATGTTCAGAAGTGGCTACTCTGGACCGAGCACCTGTACAGGCTGCCACAGGTCAGCACAATGTTTCAGGAACTGACTGGCAGAGATCTGTGCTCCATGACAGAAGCAGACTTCAGACAACGCTCCTCGCAGTTTGGAGACATGCTGTATGCTCATCTGGACATCTGGAGATCTGGTAAGAACAGGAACGCTGGGAAATGAACTTACATCAACTCTGTTGTTTGCAAATTAGGAAAGGCTAATTGTGACTAAGAGCAAATTTAAGACTTGGCTTTAAATAGTCTGCATTGTGTAAACTGCTACAGGATTTATTTATTTATTTTTTTTCTCTGATTCTTTAGCTGCAGCAATGAAGGAGCGCTGCCCACCGGAAGACAGCAAATCTGGTAAGTGGTTGTAGCTATATTTAAATACAATTGAAAACATTATAATAGTTCCAATTGTTTCACTGATTAAAATGCTAAGGAACATGTGATATCTGGTTTTTGAAAATCTCTCCTATGTCAGCAGCTGATGATGATTCCTGGTCAGATGTGATGTGTAACTACCCCAGCCAGCCCATCCACCTTTGGCAGTTCCTCCGAGAGCTGCTCCTCAAGCCTCATGACTACAGTCGCTGCATCCGCTGGCTTAATAAAGAGAAAGGTAAGGTGACAGAGAATTGTAAATCTGTGAGCAGAGAAACTGAATGATAGTTTGGCAAAACAGATGTATGGGTACATGTGACTGATTACACTGGCGCTTATTTACTGTATTTTCCTCCTCCATGTAAATCACTGCACCCGGCCAAGAAAAAGTTCAGCACATAACCCCTCGTAAAACCTCAAAATGTCGTTTCTACACCTCAGGTTTTTGTACAGGGTAAACAAACGAAATAAAATGTGTTCATTAGTGAGCTTTAGAGATGCAGGTAGGCAGATTTTTTAACCTTTGGAGAGAGAGGAGAGAATCAGGCCCGCTGATATACTTTCGCCCATACTTCCAATATTTATGCTAAGCTAAGCTCTCCTGGCATGTCTTAAAACAAATAGTACAGAACAGTCCATCACTGGATTTTTAGCCATGCTTGCTTCACTAATCAAAACTTGACATAAAAAAGTTTTCATCTTTTCTATCTCAACATTGAATCGATGGATTGGCACACAATTTTGTACATCCGTGATTGATGAATTGATTGATCCAACTGACCCTTTAGCACAATTGTGGTTTTTAGTAAAATGTCTCAACATCTATCGTCTACTAAACCAAGCAAGTGAACCTGATAAACATTTGACCTGATCAGCATGTTAGAATTTAGCTTGCACTGCTGTGCCTCAGTAAGAGATGCCGCCATGGCTGTACAGTTGACTCTCTTGTTCACCTCGGAATCCAAACTGAGTAAATTTTCTTTCTCCTGTCCAAAGGCATTTTCAAAATAGAAGACTCGGCTTACGTGGCCAGGCTATGGGGCATCAGGAAGAACCGCCCGGCTATGAACTATGACAAACTGAGTCGCTCCATCCGCCAGTACTACAAGAAAGGCATCATTCGAAAGCCTGATGTATCACGCAGACTGGTCTACCAGTTCGTCAACCCGGTATGATGAAGAGGCTGGGCTGATCAGAAGAGAAAGAGCTGAGGAGGAAACAAAGATATGCTGGACATACAGTACAAGTAACATGAACTCTGAAGCTCGTTCGTTCATTGTATTTAAATTTTCATTTCAATTGTATAGACTGCCTACTGAAATATGCACTCCTGCCTATCATACTATCGCTCTACTTAATTATTCTTAACACTGTATTTTAATTTATATGTCTCTTTGTTGTAGCACTCTTTGTTTTTGGTGTCATGTTTGATTACATAACTTATTTCTTTTTCCAACTGTGGAAACGTTTAAGAGAAATAGAAAATACGCTTACTTGCGTTCTTGCAGAGAGTTAGAATAGAAGATTGGTACCACTCTCTACCTGTACGGTGTGTAGCTGGAGCCAGATAGCTTAGCTGAGCTTAGCATAAAGATTGGAAACAGCTAACCTGGCTCTGTCCAAAGTTTTATCCAAAAACTGCCAATCAATACCTTTAAAGAACACCATTTAACACGTTATACTGCATCTTTCTTGTTTAATCGGTAAAAAAATGATTGAACTTTAAGGGTGCTGGTTGGTGAGTTTAGATATCTTTGGACAGAGTCAGGCAAGCTTTTTCCTGTCTTTGTGCTAAGCTATGCTAACCAGCTCCAGCTACACATTTAGTGTAGAGACATGTGTATCTAACTCTTGGCAAGAAACCAAATAAGCACTATTTCCCAAACTGTTTAACTAGTCCATTAAATTTTCTTTATCTTATTATGATACTTGTCCCAGTCAAGTGTCCAGAATATTTAGAAGTTGCAGAGCAATGCCAAAGAAAGCTAATATTTTATTATACCATCCTTGATGGATAGTCCTTTTTACATTTCTGTATTTTGGGTTTATGTTCAGGATCTATAATAAAGCAATAAATTACCAAATATTGATTATAATAAATCATTCCAAATCACTCGTGCAGTCCATACAAAAAACACACGGACACTAACTTTTCTTTTTTCAACAAACTTGTTTCCCTTTCAAACCAATATCGCAATATTGACACCATCACAACAAATTTGAGTCGGGTTTTTCATCACTATCGTCATTATTATCTGTGATCATAATCATCTTTATGCATATTTAAATGAACTTCTTGTTACATCAAGATGAACAGGCACTACACCAGTTAGGAGATAAAAGTACATCACTAACTATGAACATACATCTTCTAGACCGCTAATATAGGGTTTCCACAACGTGAGCTGCTGTCCCCTGTGTGCATAAGGAAGAGATCATCAACATAAAAAAGCATTTACATGTACACCTTTTTACTGCCTCAACGTGGTTAGGTCTCATTTTCAACTCAACACAGTTGTACAGTTACAATAGAATATAATCTTTAAATTACATCATCATATACAAATCTGACAGCGTGGGATAACATCACGCTTTTATGATACACTGACATTTCCATTGCAATGAAATTCATACGATATGGTACCTATTACTTAATATGTTTTCCATTGCTGTTATTTTAATGAAACACATTTACATGTATAACACTACATTTTGTCTTAATAGTCAATCACTTGCATTTTTTTTTAAACTTTTTTTTCTGTTACATTTACACAACTCATACACACTGGATGATGAAGATGTTTTCCCCCAAAATATTAACCTGGTAATGTGGATTATGTGTTTGAACTTGCGTGTATCGTGTATATCGTGTGTTAAATGCATGTGTGTTTGTATGTGTGAGGTTGTGTGTGCATATGCTCATCAAGAATGTGGGACAGTTTGATGATAGGAGTCCTTTTTGCTATGCTGGACAGCTTACTCTAAGACACAACTTGTGAGCTGGTGATGTGTTTCTCCTCATGTGTGAGACCCAAACCTGTCAAATCCTGTTCCAGACACAGAGCTAAACACATCTGACTGCTGTTGATCGGGTGAAATTTAAAAACTTCAGGACAACTAAGTTATAAAAAGTATCTCTCCCATCTAATCAGAGATTTAGGTGCAACTTGTAGCAAGATAACTCACTAATCAGCATCTGATAATTCCTGCTATAAATTTAATTTTCTATGGAGCAAGTTAAAGATTTAAAAATAACCATGTAATGCACTGTGTAAGAGCCATCTTACGTGCAGTGCAGTACTGGTGACAAATGTATTCCCTGTGTCATTGTGAGTGTTTTGCAGACAAATGAGGTTTGGGTGGACTGGGAGGCAGCTACAAGCTGATCTTCACTGAAGCTGTTTCACATGTGATATGTGAAGTTATTGCATGGAGAGAAAACATATAGTTGATGGTATTGGGTCATTCTTTGGCTCAGCAGGAAAACGGGCCACATAACTAGTGCTTTTTGCTAGGTAGGGCTTTAAATGACAGTGGAGAACCATGTTTAGACAACATGCCCTCTTTCTAGCCCAAACACTAGTACATTCATGTCCTGTTGGAGAAGCTTCGATCTTCAGACAACAGTCTGTAGCACAGTAATGCATTGACATGCCTCAGTTGGCCCCTCGCTCTGGAAGAAAAGTGCCCGACACAGGCATTGTTCAAAACCCACCTCTTATACTGCAGTGGTAACCTCAAGAAGATGACTTGATCCGACTTCGCTCTGAGGGAATGTATCACTCGTGTTTCTTGTTAGCAGTAGTGGATTAAAATGAGACCTGAATTACTGAACCAAGAATGAAAGCTTCTGCAGAAACTGTATATCCTTTCCATGGATTGCATGGAGATGATATTGTCAAAGGACTTGTGATGCTAAGAACAAAAAATGTTAATAACAAACAAACATAAAATCAGTTCATGAACAAGCTTCATTTCATGAAAACAGAAGCATGTGATGCTAGAAAGTGAACTCTGCATTTGTAGTTGAAGTGTTGCATCAAGTTGCAGCCTAAATAAGGCTGCAGGATTCAGGGAATGCAAGTTGTTGCATAGCACATGCTGCTATGCAAGATCAGAAACAGTTAAAACACATAGCACTGCACACACTGGAAAGAGTTTGGACCAAATCACAAAGAAAAAAAAAGAGGAGAGAAAAAAAAAAGAGGATACTGTCTGTGGTACTTTAAACACTACACAGCATTCCCGATGTAAGAATGACGACTGACCACACACAGCATTAGAAATGCTACACAAAAATGGCATCACACTGTATATACACAATGCAGGTTAAAGAAGCTCGTCTTTGTCGAATGGGTATAACTGATTATATTATCTTCCCATTTTCACAAGAGAACAGACTGCAGTACACTGCAAGTTTAAATAAGCTGCATTATACGTTAAATACAGCTACACAGAGAAGCAATGTGTTCCTGCACTGTTTTGATGTTATAGTTGAGTGTGTATATACTGGAATAACTGCTGCTCCTGTTTTTAAATGTGTAAGTCCACCCACCCCAAATGCTGGATAAAATATATTATACTGATATATTGTCTTTTAGGTTACTAAGTTTTTATTTAGGCAAGACTGCTTGGCGCATCTGTTGGGCAAGGGATGTGTTGCTCTTAAGTCTCTGGCTATGTGCGGTGCAATTGGACGGGACAGTTCAAGCTGCCTCCAATGGCGTGTCCTTGTCCAGTAACGTGACTAGATTGGCTCGACATAATTGGCCGGGTACAGTCCCTCTCGGCCGTTGTCCATACGACCTCTACACCAGCCTTGCTCATCTTCATCCTCAGTCTTGATCAGTTCATCACCTGTGAAGGAGACACCACTCCTTAATCAACACGCAGTCCTGTGTCAAATAGTGAGTGTAAGTCTAAATCTGAAATAAAGATATCTGTAAATACCACTCCACTCCGTGTTTTTGTTTATGAAAGATCTCTAGATTTGTTGCACTGTATAGTAGCCAGCATTTAAGAAATACTGAGGTTCATTAGTCTTACATACTCCCAGTAAAATTTGACCGGACAACAATAATGTACTTTTCAATTATTTAGACTTTTCATATTTTATCTACCCAGTTAAAGAAATTGCTCAATATTTGGGGAGGGATAGGTGAAAAGACAGATATGGCTTTTGTGGAGGAATTTAAATTAATTGAATTTGATAAGGCTGTGTGAACCCAATTTCATCACACAATAAAGATCAAATAAATTAAAGGTTCCCTGTGGAGCTTTTGACCACTAGTAGCGCTATGGAACAGTATTTTATGAGTGGATCCCTGTTTTGTTCATTCACATCAACGCATACACAATAACTGCCAGAATATAATTCCAGTTTCACACTATTCCACTGATCTACAGGTGGCGGTAAAGCACTAAAGAAATCAATCTTAGTGGATATGCAGTAAGATGCACAGCTGTGGCTTATTCAATTGTTATTTTTTTGTGAAAAGCTCGTCTTTGAATTGTTAGTCATGTCACGGTGTGGTGCTCTAAAGCACTTTTTCACACCATTTCCCAAAGAGCTTGTGTTAATTGGTGGCAAGTGCCTGTAATTTGTTTTCTATGTGGCTATTATTGACTAATCACTGCTATCTTGCATAGAGGAAGGGCGCTTTAGAATAGAAATCAGGACAGTGATTTGACCAGTCAGCTGGTCATCTTATCTTAAAACACCTGCCTACAGTGTCCCAGGCCCTTTATGTACATTATATGACGGCAGACAAAATCGTATAGCTTGTGTAATCTGGTCACTGATAATTACCTGCTTTGAAGGAGAGTTCATCTTGTTCCTGGCCATCATAATCATAGAGAGCACGGACACGGACCCCGCCCCCGCCCCCGGCCCCAGCCCCGGCCCCGGCGCCTTTCCCAGTGCTGGAATCATCTTCGAATGAATTCCCGTTTCCACCGTTTTCATTGCCGGAGTACGTAGCGGGTTGCTCGTCATCGGACCACTCAGTCGAGTAAGCTTGGTTTTTATCATAGCTGCTCACACTGGAGGATAGAGAAAATGCAGGGTGAAATTTGATGACCCCCAAAACAAAATATTAAACACATTTCTAAAGAAAAAGTCTCTCTTATTGTCAGCAAAATCCCATGAAAAGGTTAAAACCAACAATGAATTGATCCTACTAACAATGCTATTGAGCTAAAATTATTAAAAACACATCATTAAGCCTCACTGTTGCACTGGGAGACATCTCCTTTCATTATGATGAACATGGGCACTGTAGTTTATTTTGAATTGATCCCACATACACCATCCTGCTGCTTTAAATACTCACTAGCATCTGCAGCTGAAAATTGCCCCCACAAATGCACTTTTTATTCCTGTATAAGTAACATGTATAAAACTACAGTGCCCTGCTATTTTAGGAAATTATATTTGTCACAAAATATAATGTCCTGATTAAATAGATTGTGCTTCGATGTGATTAATTTGATTGTAAACAGTAGATTCCTTGAACTAACCTGCTACGATCACCAGGTGGAGCCACATGGTCAGTGCTCGGAGTGGGTGGGGCGCCGTCTGGTTTCTTCTTCTTTGGGGGAGCACTGGCCTGGTCTGGGTTGTATTCCTGGAGATGAAAGTGAAAAGAAAGACATCAAAGCAGAATAAAGAAACGTAGTAAACGAAAAGAAGAGGTTCCTTATGTGTTTGTTTGAAAGTTTAATGTTGTACCTCAAATGCAGGCCAGTTCATATGCATCCCAGGGCCGTGGTTGTTGCTGAACCACTTCAGGTCCTCTTGTGTGTTTGCAGCCAAGATTGTGCGCTCCAGCTCTCTGTATATTGCGCCATAGCTGAGTAGAGGAAAATGGAACAAATAGCGACAATGAAAGTGCCACAAGAGACCTGGGGTTGCTGCCAATTTGGCAACAGAACCCAACCCACAATGTAGTTCAAAATCTGGGTTGAGAGAGATCCAACACTGGGTCATGACAAAACTCGAGTGTCTCCCTGAGTTTTTTGCTGAAGCTGAAGCCCTGAACAGCTGAAGTGTTTGACCTGAATAATCCCAATAATCCATAATGAGGATATTACGGTCTTTGTTGCTACAGTTTTCACAAATCTCTGCAGTGTGTAATAGATAGATATATAGATAGACTTTTTTAATCCCGAAGGGAAATTGGGTCAATTGGGTAATAGATTACAAAGGGCACGTTTTTACATATTAATATAGTCAGAAAATATTACTACATTCATAGAATTTGGCACAAACAGAAAGGTGGAACAGTAACTTAATGGATGCTTTGTTAGACTGAAAGAAGAGGCTATGTTTTTCATTAAAGGCCATGATAGATGTAATGTCTAGCAGTGGAGCCTTTATGCAGTTTTATTCAGTGAGTCTGGAGGAATATTTAATTTGTGCCTGTTTAAATTCAAGCCAATACAACCTCTTAAGAACACACTGTACTGCTCTTTTTGGATAGGAAGTGTGACAGGTATATAGCAAAAGTGGAAAAACAGATTTAAAATGTATTTAAGAAGATAAACTAAAACCTCACTTGCACTGCAGTCATCGTGATCATACTGAATCCAGAAAATACACACATACTATAATAACATTTTCTTTTTTGCTTATAATGACTTTCTCATTAACCTTAACAAACCAATTTGTTAATTCTATTTTCAGTGGGCATTTCTTATAGCTGTAGTAAGTAATATGCATTCACAGTGTGTCTAATATTTGGAATTTGGATTCTTATAAGGGAAATATGGCAATACATTCTGAGAGAACTCACTGCTTTTTTTCTTTTTTGTGTATAAATATGAGTTTTACGCCAAAAGAGGAAAGCGCACTGGATTCAGAGATAAATATAATGAAAAAAGAACATACAATTATTATGCTTGGGTGCATCTATCTTATCTCATGTAGCGCACAATAGACACCCAGAAAAACGTTTTATCTTAAAACTGAGCTATCACATGTTTTCTTACAGCCGTTCATGGCAACACAGGTAAGGTCATGAATAGTAAAGGAGTGTGACATGGCTGAAATTAATCAAAACCAACATGAATGATGAAACCAGTCAGGAGGAACGACAATGCAATCCTCTAAACAGAAAAGGGCTAGAAACATCCATGGCAACCATTTGGTTAAAGAACCTGAAAATCACTTTTCCATGGGTCCCAGCTTTGTTGTTATGTGCAGGTTAAAAACAGAAAAAACAGCCAAGAATATGACAAAGATTCCCTCTGAACAAAATTCAGTTTGGCAGAAACGTCATTGACTGAATCATCAATTAATTAACACTGTGAGTCTGAGCGCTAATGGGAAATGCATGCCTGGTTGAGAAGTGTGTTGAGATTAATCAATTTGAAGTAAACTGTAGTGAATGTGACACAACAAATCATACTAATCTAATACAAATTTGTTTACAATGTGAATTTTTCTTATAAAAAATAAAAGCACAGCATGCAATAATGCAAACTTTACTTATGTTGCATACAGTACCACTAAGAAAAGTCATTTATTCACTGAAATTACATCTGAATAAGGGGGAAGATGCAAGATTCGATACTGTAGCAAGAAACATACACAGATGGTGGTAAAACAGGAGAATATTCAGTGTATAAAAATGGGATCAATGTATGTGTAAAATCACTTTCTACGGTCTGTTTTACCTCTCATACAGACATTTACTGAGTCATAAGTCAGAGAAAACACAGTCAGCAATCCAGCAGCTCTATGAAACAAAAAACCCTAGGCTCCTTCAGCCTGACTGACCTTTGGTTCTCGGTGAGGTTAAGATGGCGTTTGATGTCCAGCAGGGCCTCCTTGAGGAAGGTCAGCCTCTTGACTTCATGCTGCTGGCACTGGTCAAACACCTGCTCCATGCTCTCCATGTACTGCGGGGTGCACTTGTTCAGCTCCTCCAGAGACTTATCATACTTTTCTTTAGCCTGAGACAGAAAACAGAAGAACACACTGATGACTAAAGTCTCTGTGGAAAATAAACTGGGCTGAACGAACCAGCAATGGTTTTATTATTTTTTATCTCAAAAGCTGGCTTATTCTTATTCGTACCTTGATATTCTGTTACTAAATTGATCCCAAATGTATATGCCCCAACAAAACTTAAATAGACCTTTAAGCTTGCACTGTTCATTTTTAAAAAGGGTTGTAAGGTATATCGTGGTGTTGTGAAACTAAATATCTGTTCCAATAACCAAAAATATATCACATTGAAAATACAAAAAAAACCCTTTGCCTTCACACTGCATAAATCTATCTCAAAGTAAGATCTTAAAGTGTTTATTTGAATAAGACTATGTCAAAAGCCTGATCAATTAGCCTGATCAATAGTCATTTAAAAGCCTTGCCACAGAGCCTGGACCAGCAAGATAAGACAAGATACATTATGTCTGTTTGCATAGAAACATTCATCTACTGACCAGTGTAACAAAAAGTACAAATATTTTAGTGGAATGTGTCGTGGATACATATCAGCAGATAGATGTGTTATATACGTTTATGATTGTGTGTATGTTTGAATAGAGAGCGTGTCCTTGGCAGCAACGTATTACCAAAGGTGCTCATGACTTGTTTTGTCTTGATTTTATTCTTGACATCTTTTTTTTTCACTGGCCTCAAACTAAACAAATGAAAATACTTTTATCCCATTGCCTCTGTTTCCAGCCTTCTTCTCACCTTCTGCGAATCCTGTTTGCATTTGTCCACTTTCTCGTGGAGTTTCTTCTGCTGGTCTGGCGTGACAGAAGCCTCAGTCTTGCCGTTGGCCTCTCTGGCTGCAGCCAGCTTCTCCTCCTTGCAGGCCATGTGGTACCCTTTCTTAGCTGTCTCCATCTGTATGTCCAAATGCAGGCATTGTCAGTATCTCAAACACATTAACTGATTTGACCAAAGGAACACAAGGGAGTCACTTATACTCATGTAAAAGCAGGAATGACCTTGTCGAGACAGGCTACTCTGGTTTAATGTAATCAGTATGTATAACTACATAAATATTATTACGTCCTTCTATCCAGGACCACAGTTGTATTTTGTTACTTAGGACAAAAACACAAAGCCAGAACAAGTAGAGTCCCTTTTTTTTTTTTTTTAAATATCAATGCATAAGAAAGGAATTCAGTTCCATTAAGGCAAGACCCAGTCAGACCTGTCTAGGGTCTAAGTCCACTCATATTATACAGAGCCCCAAAGCAACAGCCAAAACAGCCCTTCAAATGAGTGAAATAAAGGGGAAATTCAACCTTGAACACAGTGCTATAACAATGGTTTTAGGCAGTGAAGCCAGTATCTACAAAGTGTCTCCCTAAGCTGGAAATCAAGACTTGGTCCACTGACAATTAATTAGTGACTAACTCTGTTGCCACAGAGAGTTTTTGTTTAAAACATCACATGAAAATGAATTGTAAATCAGGAAATTTGCCAGTAAAACCACCAGGGGTGCAGCCACAGACAGTGTAATGGAGAAGCTCCAGGAATGGCCTCTCGATGAAATCATTAGTACAGCGTACCTCTCTGCTGTTCAGGGATTTGTTCAAGTTCAGAAACTGAAATTTAAACCTGCAATAACGGATTTCTTGTCCACTAGGGGGCAGGGGAAACAACTTGTGAAATTGTTATCATTAATTTGAGTAGTGTTTCTGGTGAATACAAGTCCTCCCCTAGCTCTGTTTTTGGTCTGCACCAGCTCCTGTGGCTACTTAGTTGCTAAATTCTCCACTATGTTGACCAGTTTTCTCTGTCTGTATCAAAACAGTAAAGTTGCAGGCCGGACAGCAAAACAATGAGCTGAAACCTGCTAAGCTCTGTAAAGCAGAGGGAAGCTGCAGATTTGGGTGATCATCATTGTTTTCACATTGTTTTCACATTTTTGATCATCATTTATTACATTATTATAATAAAAATATAAATTATAGATGCATTTAATGTCCAATATTAAAGAAGCAACAGGAATTCTATTGTAATCAATAAATCATTGATTTAAAAACTACTTCAAAGGCCTGGTGTCACTTTTGTATTCAAATTTTTCTTCCTGTATATATTATGTTATAAGGAGTTCGGTCTAGACCTGCTCCATTTGAAAAGTGTCCTGAGATAACTGTGTAATCTGTTATGAATTGGCGCTATACAAATAAAATTGAATTTTTATGTTGATGTGTGAGGAGACGTTACAATACTGATATGACCCAAAGCAACACAACAACATCACAAGCTGTAGTGTGAGTCAGAAAGAACCAGAAAGAAGCTCATGTATGTCATATTACATTCATTACGTGGCTACAACTTGTTCTATTACACCAAGGATAAAGATGAAACATAATTTGTTTCCATCCCCCTCACCTCCTTGAGCTTTTTGGCCCACGGTTTCTGAGCCTTCTTGAAGCCTTCGTCTGCCTCCTTGGCCTCTTTGAAGCCTCCGATAATTTGCTTGTGATAGGCTTCCTTCTGCCAGTTCTTCACTCTCTCTACGTCATCGTTCACCAGGTTGTTCTTCACTTCTTGGTGCAGCTCACTCACCTTCTCTGCCTCAGTCATCACAGCCAACCAGGCTCTCTCCACAGAGCCGTACTGTGGGCCTGGGGGTCGGACAAAACGATTCAATCCAGTTAAAAACTTCAGAGCAATAACCCGCGGCCAAATATTACCACAAGGCAAAGATCACACTGTGTAAATGGAGCTTTGGCAAATTGGAAGACAATGTGAAGCACTACTTTGTTGAGCTGTTTATTTTATTGACTCAGTCCCACATGCTGACCTTTCTCAATGAGCTGCCTCCATCTCTTGGACCATGCAGTTAGCTGATCACCATAGGCTTTTTCTATCTTGGCACGTTCCTGCAAGCAGCCCATAAGGTCATTGCAGAGCCGATGGCCGTCATCAAATCTCTTGACAGCACGTTTGTAGTTCCCCACCTGAGGACAGACAGATGGATAGACTGAAGGAACAGAAAACAAATCTCTTTACATATGTCACATTAGAAAAAAACATACACAAAAAACTGATGATATATATGATACATATATGGTAAAATGAGGGAAGATGCTCCCCTTAAGAAAATTGTTTATTGAAGAAAAGCTTTTCGAATGCAGTATGTACAGTACGATTGTGCATTGAGTATTAAATGCAATTGTTATAGGGGTCGTTTTTGATACAGGCAACTGATTTTAGGTATGTGCAGGTTTTATAATTTATAAAAGGAATGCTATTTAATCACCATTCATTACATTATTTTTTTACTGACTGAGTAAAAGAAGATATTTTTGAAAAGCCATGGTTCATATAATATAATATTAGGCTGCTTTAATGAGATTTAGCTTTGAAATGAAACACAAACAATATTTCAATTCTGTTACTATTTCTACATATTAAAGCGACTTCTATGGAACAGTCATGGTTTATTCTTCACTAATAATTTTTTATTTGAATTCTAATTATGCTGTAAGCAAACAAACCCATTTTACTCTATAATGCAGTGTGTTATTTTAAATCCGAGCAAGAAACAGCTTTAGCCACATTCATTTTCTCAATAAAGGCATCAAAGCTACATTTTTATATCCTTCTCAGTCAAACACACCAGTGTTCAGACTTTTCCTTTAGATCTTGCCACCTTAAGGAAGACCGCCTTAAAAAAACAGTGGCAGGCCATGTGGCTCCGCCCCTTCAGTGCCTGCAGGGGGCGTGAGCTCATGGTGCATGATGAAGGGAGGCTAGTGAGGGGGACGGGGGTTGCTCGTGCCTGTGCATGTGTAGTTATGCAATGACATGGGCTTGTGTTTGTGTGTGTATGTGAATGTGTGGTATCTGAGTGTGTGTGTGTGTGTGTGTGTGTGTGTGTGTGTGCACAAACTGTAACTGCTTTAATCCTCTTGAGTGGTGTAATGCAGGCAGACAGATTCTCAGGGATAGACGACGAGGTGGAGACAGAAATACATAGAAACCAAAGACTGCTTATGCTTTATATACATACAGTCATATATAATCACAGACACAACTCACAGAGAGCCTATCTGATGTGTTCGCTGGCTGCAGAGCTGCACTGTGATTGGTCCTGACATGAGCATGCATGTGTGGTTACTGTTTGAGATGAGAGAGCTGCAGGGAGGCAGTGAGACAGGTGTGTGACGGTATGAGTTTTGGCCTGTGTGACAGACTGCCAAGTCACACCAACAACAACACGCAGGTGGACTGGTTGTACATACAAAAACACACTGAAGCTCTTGTGTTTGCACCAGAATTCAACAGCGTGTTGATTGTTCCATGGTTTGGATAAGTTTGATTGTGTTTCTCAGCCCAAAAGTGTTTAAGTGTATTTTCTGGCATTTGTAAGCCATGAGCTGACCAGAGCTGTGTTGCCAGTATACAGATGCTATAGGCAGGTGCATGTGGTGAAAGGCCGCCTCAGAGCGGCTGATGACTGAGGCTCTTTGTCTGTGTGTCCATGGCTAAGAGCCATTATACAAAGAAGACTCTGTACTGAGGGAATTCATTAACGCTAATTTGGTGCACACACACACACACACACACACACACACACACACACACACACACACACACACACACACACACACACACACACAGTGCAGCTCAACACAAGTGAAGATTGATAGAACTTGTATGATGTCTATATTTGTGGCGATGTGTCCTGTGATCACACAATTGGATTTGATTGTGATGAACAATACATATACTGACAAAGGTATTGCAACACTCTCTTAAGAAAGAGAATTATTACTTGTAGGGGTATTTAACACATGTCCATCTCATTCATTCATTCATTTAGTAAATGGTGGATGCCCATTTACTCATTTTCTTCATGGCCATGTATATGCACTTTTTGTATATATAGTTTTTCATAGCTTCTGTGTGCCGGGGAAAAAGATACACAAGAAAATCAACAATATAAATTAGGCCAAGACTTTGTAGCTCGTACTTTTGACATACTATGAGTATTTCTATTTTCATCATTTCAAACTTTAATGTATGTTTTTACTTGGCACTGTGACCAAAAGTACAGACACTGCAACTTTCCATTCACATAAAAGATTTTTAGCTGCACACCCTGATAGCTTACCTAGTGGAACTGGCACCCCATGCGCTGTAGGGCTGGGACCTTGCTGCACCACCTATGGGTTTGAATCTGACCTGTGGCCCTTTGATGTGTGTCATCATGAAGGCAAATTCCCAATTGGGTCACCTTTAAAAGGCTCTTAATTTAAAGCAATAGTTCGACCTTTTGGGAAACTTTCCCTTCGATAATAGGATGAGAAGATTGATACCACCCTCTTATCTGTATGTTAAATATGAAACCACAACCAGCCACTTGTTAGCATAGCTTAGCATAAAGTGTAAAAACAAGGCAGATTTGAGAGTATTATCAATCTTCTCATCTCAGCATGAAATGGAGTAAGCGTATTTCCCAAAAGGTCAAACTATTGCTTAAAAGCGTAAAGTCACGCTAATTTGTTTTTTCCTGCATTTCTTAATCAACATCAGGAGAACTGACCCACTGCTTTGAACCTCAACAGGTATCAAATACCATCGCTATCCCTTCTGAGACTAATTGTCCTGTAAAAGCTCAGTGACACTAATCTCATTTGCATGGTTTCAGCTGTGACTCTGTTGGGCTTCAGAAGCAAGATCAATACAAGGCAAAGAGAGGGTAACGGCTTGGGGCTGCAGGTTGACAACTCATCAGAACAGAGATGACAGTGTGTCTGTACCTCCCAGAAGCTGTCCATGGTGTCGTCAGCACCTGCACTTTCATCGTAGGAGCCAGACATTTTCCTGGATGTGGCAAAGCACTCTAATGACTAAACCTGTCCTCTGCAGCAGAGCTGGGTTCCTCATGCACTGAAAGAGACAAAGAGAGAACAACAATGTGAGACAGTACACAAATGCAGACACAAAGCAGTACAGTGGAGTGCATTAACATGGCCAAGCCTCTCTCTAACACTGAGGTAAAAGCAATGTAGCAATTTTTCCCTGCCAACTGGAGGGAACCTTTCAGTGTGAGGGTTTCTATTTGAGACGTTTATAATAATGAGATAAAAATAGTCTCCTTCGCCATGCATACAGCGCCGTGCCCTGAGGAATGAGAAGGGGCATCTTATATTGGCGTGTCCTAGAAAAGACACCAGAGAGAGTGAAGCATCACTGCCATCACACAGCTCTGACCCTGAATCCCTCCACAGGGCAAATACTCATTCTTATGACACGTTTCATCTGAGAAACACACAATACATATGCTACACTGCGTACAGCAGTCCAGAATGTAGCTTGCGTGTAAACGTGTAATTGCGATCGTTATTATCATTACTGTTACTATATATTTGCTTTGTCAATCCTGTCAGTTATTGCTATTTTGCAGTGTAGATGGTATGTTTTGTGTGTCATCCTTGTCCTTTATCTGTCTTTGTATATTGAATCTCTGCCTATAAGAATAGAGACATGAAAAACTATACTATTGACTAAACTACTGACCTAAATTGTCAATCAAATATGTTTTCTAATTAAATCTAAGTTGATAAAAAACATTGTGTAACAGCAACCTTAAGATAGAATGGAAACAGATACACTGAAACAAGATCAACACACCGAGGCTCAGTCGTCCCTTAATGATGTTATTTAATCACCTATTACTTCTTAAGCCAACAGAATACAGTTCCTGCTGGATCTCCTCCAGTGTTTAAGGTGATTTATATTTATTTGTTTGACGTGTGGTCGATATCTTACCACCACGGTTAAAACAGAAGAGGCTGCAAGATGCTTTATTGTTATTGAACTCTGTTGGAAGCCTAATCCATTTTGCTCACATGACTAATGGCTTTCCCTTGACAGAGAGCTCTTCATTGAACAGCAACAACCAATAAGACCATATATTGTATGTGTCTAATAATAATGAAGTTCTGTTGATAATGCTCCTGCTCTGACATGCTTTCTTGGTCTCAACAATTAAATTGCGTTGATTGTGGTTCTTATCTAATTCTGCACATGGTCCAATAGTGCAAAACGCAACTTTATAATAGCTTTTAATTAAAATGATAAAGAGTTTTGCAAAATCTTAATAAGAGCACAGTGTAATAATTGATTGATTCTTAGTATTCACAGTCCAAATTAAGTGTTAGCTAAGCGTGCTAGGTAGAGGTCAATGCAGATGAAGGATGACTTGTGGCCATTTCAGAATATAAGCTGAGTCTGCACTCTACAGTCTGACGCATGACTAAGAATATTTTGTTCAAATATTACCAGGGCCCTCTTCATCCTTCAAACTCCTTCTGCATTCAAGTGCAAACTAATTCCTGCAACATCCTTCATCCCTGGAATGAGTCATGGAAAAATACGTTCAGCTCAATTTTGAACTGGCCTGTCCTCACTTTCCTTATACACAACATAACAACAAAATTGTCCTTGTGAGAAAAATAAGAGTCCTGAAACCACAGGGGCAGCTTATGAAGAGAAAGCATTCTTAGTAGCAGCACCCGCAACACACTCTGTTTTCACAAGGGGGTCTAGTCACCGAAATGTTAGCTGGGGAACATTTGTGCAAAGTGTTATTGGTTCTGGTTTCTGCTGCAGAACAGGCAATCTATTCCTGCTCGGTCAGTGTTTCTACAGAACATTGACTGATTTAACCAAGCTGTACTTTATCAAAGGCCTTGGTTACTGTCAGCAGCTATCACACCAGCCTGTGGGGCTCTTAACAGTCGAGGCTTTCAGACTGGCCATTTCAAGAGAACACCACACAAAATACCAAAGAACTATGATTCTATGATTTAGCTATTTCAGAGTCTGAATCAGAGACAACCTGAGCCTGCATAAGGATCAGCTGCGAGGTATTTTTGTGGTAATTCATCTTCACCTCCACAGCTCAGAGAATAAAAGCATTTTTCTGTGCACTCTATTCGTCTATCATACCTACAGGTTTTTAATACATTTGGAAACTGTTTCTATTCATAGGAAAAAACTGAATTTAGAGGACTAGTGAAGGTTTTTGCTAATCCAAAAGTTGGTGTCCTAATCCAGACCTAAAGATTATCTTTAAAGTAACGGCGTAGCCAAAGTAAACAAAGTTGAAGTATATAAGAACACACGTTTGTATTCCCTGCAGCACCTTCCACAGAATGTGTGACTCTAGATCAGTTGGGGCACACCCGTAGTAAATCCCTTTTTTGCCAAATCCACACAGCACCGAGAAGGCATGTTAGTCACCCTCACAAGCCGCTCCACAAACTCAACAATCTATACTTTACTTGCATCAACTACTACACACTCTGCACTATGGAAATGTGCAGGAGATTAATACCACTCATGTTTGTATGGTAAACATGAAGCTGCAGTCAGCAGCTGGTTAGCTTAGCTTAGCACAAAGACTGGAAACAGGGAAACAGTTAGCCTGGCTCAGGTAACAAACTCTACTGCCCAACACCTCGGAAACTCACTGATTAACATGTTATATTTAGTTGACTTAATTCGTACAAAAAAAAGAAGTGTAAAAAAGACAAGTTGTGGTTTTCCAGTCTTTATGCTAAACTAAGCTAAGCTAAACTAAGCCAAGCCATCTGGCTGTTGGCTGTAGCTTCATAATTACACAGACAGGAGAGTGGTTTTGATCTGTGTAGGGTATAATCTGTATGCATTTACTGAACATAAAAAAGGCAGGATAGTCTGAGTTCTTCTCTTCAGTAAATACAGACATTATCATAAAACGATCAAAAGTTTAAAATAGCATGGGCCTCAAATTCATATCTTATAGATAACAGTAAATAAAAAATGTGTTTTTATTTAGTTTTGTTTTTTTTAACCAAAAAAACCCAGACATATAAGACATACGATATAAAAACTCCACTATGTGATGCAAGAAGGCTCCATGCAGCTAAGCAGCCCGTAAAGTAGCACGTCTTAATTTCCGCAACAAACAAACAGCATTGGACCTGCTAGCTGTCTATCATCCGAGTCCTCCAATTAGCTTCCGCCTCTCCGTGACTACAACACCTAGAGACACCAAAGCCAGTTAAGCTCAGGCATGATGCCAGAATCCCAGCTCTAAAGAAAACCAGTGAAGCTTAGTTTAACCAAAACTCACACAACCAACATATCACTTGATGTTTAGAAAGCATTCGGACTGACACACAACAATTCCCAGATAGCGCTCCACACATTTCCTTAAATCGACGATCTCAAACTAGGCTGTAGTCGAATAATTCTGTAGCATTAATAATTGTATGTACATGTTTATGAAGGTGAAAAGACGACAAGAAAGATAAATTCTCCAAATTAAAAATATATATAAAAGGAATTGGCTCAAAAATCTTTATTTCTAAAGACATTGTGGACATAAAAGTCATTGGCCTTAGCTCACAGTTGTGGTCCATTGTGGGAGATCATGTGTCCCTTGAGATGGATAAAGGCGGGGGGTGGAAAGCATTGTAGAGAGGGGCTTACACTACAGTTATTGAGGTCAATCCACCTCAATGGCAGTAAACACACCTCCCATTCCCCAGGGTGTTAACTGGTGAAGTCATAGTAAAAACCAAGTACTGATTCTACTATTACTCAGGTTTTAGTTAAAGAAATGTGATATAAATGGGACCGAATAATGAAATAGGCCTGTATATAATGCAAGGACACAATATTATATTGGAAACTATACTGCATTCATAAGTCACATAAAAATAACAGCTTGTCTGTACAAGCCATATTTATCCATTTGGATGTATCTTTCAGTTTGAAACTGTTAACAACCCACTCACTGACCAGAACACTTCTATCAAAGCAATCCCTTTTGCGATTTAAGAGTCTGTTGCGACTGCAGAGGCGGCACTGCTGTCTGAAGCTGACTACTAAAATACTACAATTCAAACTTCTGCACATTTGTAAGTAATTGAACATTGTTCTGCACATTCACTTACCACGGTTGCCTCCATCTTTGAAAAAGAAAAACAATCCCGAAATTTGAAATCAAACACAACTCTTTAAAACGACTCCTCGTGGATGTATAGATTTGTAGTCCAAATATGTCCTTTACAGTTGGAACTTGCAAATTTTATTTTTGCAGCTTTGACCTCTGTGGCCAAACTGAACCTAGAGAGGACGATAAGTCTGACCAAACCAGCATGTCTCAGAGGCTGAGGGATAATCCTGCAGTGTGCCACTTGAATAGCTTTGGAGGGGGAGGGTGCTAGCTAGGAAGAAGAGCAAAGAAGCGGATAGGACGGGTGAGACACAGAGACAAAAAGTGGAGAGTGGAATGTGCTGTTGATATGAAACTAATTATGATATTAAGTACTGACAGCATAGCTTTCTGTGTAGGGACACGTGCAATAGAGTTTGTGTGGTTATGATACATAGGGTATATATGAGGAGTTTCCTAATATCAATTTCATCATAAATGCACTGCTGGCACATTCAGGACTGCACACCTGAGACTGAGCTCACAGCAACAGGATGCAACTAAATACTGCAGGTTCCTGATGAACATGAATGCTTTTAAGAGAGTTAAAGAGAACCCCTGATCCAGGTGAGACAAATGTTCCTGACATATTCAAGAGGTCCAGTGTTGACAAGCCTTCTAAAGCACTGAATGGGAACCACAACAAACATGTAAGCTTGTTACAATAAGAAGATTTCAGAGAGATAAACTAACTTTACTCCAGCACACTACCAAGCGCACTGTGTCCTGACCGATTAGACAACAGCGATTCAAAGACGGAGTTGCTGACCGAAAACTAATTTAGTGAATTTATTTCTCTCTAGTAATGTCAAGTCAAGGTTATTTATAGAGCACATTTAAAAACAACAAATGTTAATGAAAGAGACATAGGAATGATCAAATAAAAACATAAAAAAGTTAT